TGCTCATTAATATTAGCCAAGGAAAATGATTTTTATGGACAAAAGAGTTGTGTTGCATTTTTTATCAACGACAGACCGAGTCACATGACTTAGGCTCACAGACTAGACTCAGCTCACGCAGTATGTCTATTGACTTGGACTTAAAAATGACGGGAGATTTATGTGCTCATTAATATTAGCCAATGAAAATGATTTTTATGGACAAAATAGTTGTGTTGCATTTTTTATCAACGACAGACCGAGTCACATGACTTAGGCCCACAGACTAGACACAGCGCACGTATTATGTCCACTGACTTGGACTTATAATTGACTAGAGATATATATGCTCATCAATATTAGCCAACAAAAATGATTTGTACGGGAAAATCAGTTGTGTTGTATTTTTTATCAAAGACAGACCGAGCCGCATGATTTAGGCCCACAGACTAGACACAGCGCACGTATTATGTCCACTGACTTGGACTTATAATTGACTAGAGATATATATGCTCATCAATATTAGCCAACAAAAATGATTTGTACGGGAAAATCAGTTGTGTTGTATTTTTTATCAAAGACAGACCGAGCCGCATGATTTAGGCCCACAGACTAGACACAGCGCATGAATTATGTCTATTGACTTGGACTTATAAATGACTGTACATTTATATGCTGATCAATATTAACAAACAATCATACCAATATTTTTGCAATAAAAAAGAATTTTGTTTGCTAATATTAATGAGCACAAATTTCCAGTCGTTTATAGGTCCAAATCAATAGACAGAATGCGTGAGCTATGTCATGTGAGTTGGTCTGTCGGTGATAGAAAATACGACACCAANTACCAATATGTTTGCAATAAAAAAGTATTGTTTGCTAAAGTGTTTGTTTGCTAATATTAATGAGCACAAATTTCCAGTCGTTTATAGGTCCAAATCAATAGACAGAATACGTGAGCTGTGTCATGTGAGTTGGTCTGTCGGTGACAGAAAATACGACACCACTATTTTTGGTGTAAAAACCACTGTTGTTGACTAATATTGATGGGCACATAAATCTCGAGGCATTTATAAGTCCAAGTCAATAGACATAATTCATGCGCTGAGTCTAGTCGGTCGGCCTAAGTCATGTAAGTGGGTCTGTCGTTGATAGAAAATACAACACCATGATTTTTGATTTTAAAATCACGGTTGTTGGCTAATATTGATGAGCACATAAATCTCCCGTCATTTTTAAGTCCAAGTCAATAGACATAATTCATGCGCTGTGTCTAGTCTGAGGGCCAATGTCATGTGACTCGGTCTGTCTTTGATAAAAAATACAACACCATGATTTTTTATTTAAAAATCACTGTTGTTGGCTAATATTGATCAGCATATAAATGTACAGTCATTTATAAGTCCAAGTCAATAGACATAATTCATGCGCTGTGTCTAGTCTGTGGGCCAAAGTCATGCGACTCGGTCTGTCTTTGATAAAAAATACAACACAACTATTTTTCCCGTACAAATCATTTAGGTTGGTTAATATAGATGAGCACATAAATCTCCAGTCATTGATAAGTCCAAGTCAATAGACATACTGCGTGAGCTGAGTCTAGTCTGTGAGCCTAAGTCATGTGACTCGGTCTGTCTTTGATAAAAAATACAACACAACTATTTTTTCCATACAAATCATTTTCATTGGCTAATATTGATGAGCACATAAATCTCTGGTCATTTATAAGTCCAAGTTAATAGACATAATACGGGAGCTGTGTCATGTGACTTGGTCTGCCTTTGATAAAAAATACAATACCTCTATTTTTTCCATATAAATAATTTTCATTGGCTAATATTGATGAGCACATAAATCTCCCGTCATTTTTAAGTCCAAGTCAATAGACATACTGCGTGAGCTCTCTCATGTGGGATGGTCTGTTGTTGATAAAAAATACAACACCATGATTTTTTATTTAAAAATCACTTTTGTTGGCTAATATTGATGAGCACATAAATCTCTAGTCAATTATAAGTCCAAGTCAATGGACATAATGCGTGCGCTGTGTCTAGTCTGTGAGCCTAAGTCCTGTGACTAGGTCTGTCTTTGATAAAAAATACAACACAACTATTTTTGCCATAAAAATCATTTTTGTTAACTAATATTGATGGGCACATTAATCTCGAGGCATTTATAAAGCCGATTCAGTAGACATAGGAGAAGAAGAAGATTCATTGATAACAAATAATTCAACACGTTGCTATTGGCAATAAAAATCATTTGTGCTTACGAATATTGATGAGCACATA